ATGCCTCATATTTACTTTGGCGTACGATGGGTCAGGAATTGGTTGAATGCTCTACACATATTAATTAATCTTCATAATAGTCCTGAGGCAGAATACTGCCTAGTAATAGAAATAATAATATCCTCTATTTTCTACTTAACATGTCATTTCAGAAGAAAGTAGCACATGTTTCTCTTTGGGGGCTTAAAATACAACAAAACACCACCTTGGTATCAGGGTGTCTCAAATATACGAATTCCCCCTCCCTACCTCACTCCCCAAATCAAAGAGTGTGTTCCATATGTGGCACAGAACAGGAAGGTTTGCGCTCTTTTTAAATTCAAGCATTCATTATATTTCACCCGCATTTTCCTATTAGGCCCCATATAGCCAGGTGGCCTTAGACCAAGGGTGGGCAACCCTTGGCACGCGTGCCAAACATGGCAGGCCAGTAACTTTTGCTGGCACATGAAACCCTCTCTTATAATCTTCCATTTACAATTTTTTTCTTAATATTGACTTTTTTATTTTTCAGATAAATTCAGTGTAGGTGCATCTTAGATAAATAAATAATTTTACATAACAACTTATCTTAAAGACCACAGACATGGATTGACGAGAGAGCGGAAGAGCAATTTCTATGCCTTTGCCTTAACTCTCCCTGCCTTCCTAGATCCGACCAGTGTTTTGGTTTCAACCACATATGCTACTGAATCTTTGTTTTCAGTGATGAATTCTGTTAAGTCTCAGAATAGGAGTAGCCTGACGGATGAAAGTAGTAGCTCGTGCATATCTCTGACGGTCACAAGATATAAACCTGATGTAAAACCTCTGTCATCAGTGATGCAGCCGCAGAAGTCCCACTGATAATATCAAACCGAGTCATAAAGTCCTCTGTCGGACTATCAGTGTACATGTATACATTAAAAAATAAATGTATTTTTCATCATCATATACTGTGTTTTTGTCCCTTGAATGAATTTTATTATATCTTCAAGGTTCTCCACATACATACACCATAAGAGATATCAAGTAGGCGTAACATAATTCTCAAAAAATTTAGGGTTGAAAAAAAAATAGGGTTGGCACGCAGAAGAATTTTGAGTCAGAGATTTTGCTGGTTTTGGCACGCACTCACAAAAAGGTTGCCCACCCCTGCCTTAGACCTAAGTCCATCTTCAAAGTACATGACATAAAACTAACTTAAGGGAAACCAATTCCTTGTAAGAGACACTAACCTGCTTTCATATTAAAAATATAAATAGATGCCTAAGACAACCATGAGCCCCTCATACAAAATGTGGGATCTTTAATATTCACAAATTGGAGCGAGGGAGAGCTGGAGAGAGGAGAGAAGGGGCAGGAGACAAATCTCCGCTTTCCCAGAGGCATGCCAGAGTCTGCCTGTTTGGGGGGCGGGGAGTGGGGGAAGGGCGGGGTCTGCAGTCTCAGGATAAGGCCCTTTCTCTGACGGTAGGACAGCCTGTCATAAGGCTGCGCTGCAGCGCCTTGGACGTACCTTTCTCACGTCGGAACTCTTTGGTTCTGTTGTCCAGGTTATAATTCTAGAAACAGCAAGCCTGGTCTCACTAGAGTTTATAAAGTCAATTGGATCCATCTGTCTGGCGAGAGACTCAATGTACTTCAGGATTGCAACTTTGACCTGAAAGATCCAATCATTACGAACATTAAGTACACTTTGTGAGTCTTTGAGTAGAATTCTTAACTGGTCATCAGAGAAAAGTAAACCCTACTGAAGCGACACCACCTTTCTGCTGGGTTTGTGGTTCCACATGGAGCCAGCATCCATCAGAACAGGAAGTGTGGGATGACAGAGTGAGTGTGGCACAGGAGTGCATGCAGCCTGATGCTCCTTGGTTCCAGAGCCGGCAGGGAAGGCGTGCCCCGCTCCTCGCCTCGCTGCAGGACACGCAGAGGGCGGAGCCCTTGTGGGGAGGCCAAGGGATTTTGAGCTCTGCCAGGGACTGGGATGGCAAGTACAAGGCTGCAGCTAGATTTGCTTCTTAGACAGCCTAGGCCAGTGATGGCGAACCTTTTGAGCTCGGCGTGTCAGCATTTTGAAAAACCCTAACTTAACTCTGGTGCCGTGTCACATATAGAAATATTCATTTTTTTAAAAAATATTTGCAACCATAGTAAAAGTAAAACAAAGACTTATATTTTTGATATTTATTTTATATATTTAAATGCCATTTCACAAAGAAAAATCAACCAAAAAAATGAGTTCGCGTGTCACCTCTGACACGCGTGTCATAGGTTTGCCATCACTGGCCTAGGCCATGTGTTGCAAGGCAGCACGTTCAGTAACCAAGCTGGTACTCCGCCCTAACCTCTCCCCTGATGTCCCAATGGGTTCTGACCTCAGGAGAAAAGGGCTGCTACTGACAGGGCCTGTCCTAAACCCCAATGATCAAAGAACAGGTGCCGTACATGACTTAACTCACATGAACACATATTTTGCCTCCAATTTAGTCTTGTTATTACAGGTATGATTTTACAACAACATGTAACAAGTTAATCATATGTTAGAATGTAAATATTTTTTAAAATTCCAATAAGATACATGTATCTCAACAAATCAGAATTTTCTAGTTTAAATATTGTGACAGAGTAATAATTCCCAAATGTTGGCAGGGATGTGGAACAACTAGAACTCTCATAAAATTGCTGGTCGGTATATAATACAACCATCTGAAAAGTTTAAAATAAAGTTGAACATATGCCTACCCAATAAATCAGCAATTTCTCTATTGAGTACTGAACCAAAAGAAATGAAAGCAAGTCCACAAAGAGGTGGACAAGAATGCCCCCAGCAGGCATATGCGGAACCGGCAAATACAAGGGAACCGATGCCACATCTAGCGGCTGAATTGTAAGGACAAATCATTACCAACCTTGAGGTTAGGAGTCTGAGTTTGATCCACAATAAATCTCATCAAGATGTTAAATTGTTGATCAAATGGAAAGGAGTCCCTGGGTAAAAAAGAAAAAAGTGCTGTTCTTTAAGAAAAATTTGTAACAAAAAATAATGTAAAACCATATAAAAACAAAAAATAAACTGTTATAGATTAACATATGTAAACGCAAGCCTGTTCACATTCTGTAAACAGTACTTTTCATTTTATATTAAATACTAAAGTAATACGCATTACAGAAAACATTTTTAAAAAGGAAGTCTTGTTAAACATCTCACAACACATACTAAACTTACTTTGAGTATGCTAGTTTAAAAATAAATATGAAGCAATAAGGAAAAGATTCGTACTTGCCTTCTAGGGGTCTGCTCAACTTCTCTCCAGCTTTCTAAATAATGCTTATCGGAAAACACTGCCTATTTCCAAATCTTAGTTTCACACCCTGATTAGGCAGCTTATAGCTGACCTCGCTTAAGCTAACTGCACTGTCCTTCTTGTGAGGGCTTATCATCGCCACTTGGCATAATCACGAGAACAGCGCCTGTGGGGCGCTCAGCAAAAACCCCCACGTGCAACTACCGAACAGATACAGGAACCGGGGCCCCTGCAGGCCCCCCCTGCTCCATTTCTTACTTGGTGCCAATCCCTTTCCTTTAGTCATCTCACACCTTTAGTCCAACTGAGTGACGCTGAGGGCTCTCGCCTAGTGAAGTCAGTGCTCTATCCCCCTGAAAATGCTGCCGTTACTAGCTCAGTGTAAAGCTGCATAATGGAGCCCATGTGGACTAACAGGAACGATACTGCAATGCAAACATCTGTTACAATTGAGGCTGAGCAATGGCACCGCTGTCCTGGGACTCTCTTAGAGACTTTTCTCAATCTACAGTAGTAGTAAAAAAAAAAAAAAAGGATGCAGGTTCAAAACCATGAAAATCACAGGACCGATGTGACATTTAAATGAAATAATACAAAAAAATGTAAAGTGCATGGCACATACTAGGTACTAGTACTAGCATTATAATTATTAATAAGAAGTAAACTTGACCCAACAGCACATCCTTTTCTACCATATCTATCTGCATCCAGGAAACTGTGAGGACCACTTCTGGGAGCAAAATACACGTTAGAATACATGATTTAAGTGACTCACATGGCTGTAAATTAAAGAAACGAGGTCAACAAACCACACACAAAATGTCTCTCCTTTCTTCTGAAGCAAATAATGGATGTGTTTAACCGGGAAATGTGCCCTGTTAGCACAGCCGAAGGACCGGAAGCTGAGGCAGATTTGCAATCAGGTCTATTACCCGAGGAAGAGCTCGCAGCCAACACTGAGCCCCTGGATACACACTGAGCCCAGATAACCTTAAGCAGCTACTCAACTCAGCTGCTGAGACAGGAATGACAAACATGCTTTAGAGACCAAGACCAAATATAAGGAGAACAAGATTCTAAAGGAAAGAGACATCCAAAAAAGTTAACAGAAGGGAATAATTGTTTTTCTTAATCACCAAAGGATGGGAATATGATCATAATATTCCTGCCATCCCCTAAAAATCTGAAACAAATCTTGTCATTCATAAATTTCCTTAAATTTAGCAAGTGACCTGTAGGCCAAGTCGGGCTCACAATGTTTTATTTGGCTTTCACAATACCTAGTATGTGGCACGCACTTTACATTTTTCTTGTAGCATTTCATTTAAATTTCACATCTGTCCTGTAATTTTTGTAGTTTTGAACCTGCATCCCTTTTCTTTTTCATAAAAAAATAAATTCTTGAATATGATGCATTAATCCACATTGCTGACCTTCCTTGAAAAGTCTGGAACCCCTGGGACCAGGTTCCAACACGGCCACCACTGATCACACTTCTCCACATTACCCATAATCCTCCCCTCTTACCTACTTCACTCATTTTTATCACCTGGATCAGCCTAGCGCTTGTAGTCAATGCTTTATAAATCCATTGCTAAACTGATGTATAGGGAGGTTCCCTAATTCTGGCCTATATGTGGAATCTTAAAAAAGAACAAGCCAAACCCATAGAAACAGAGAGTCGAATGGTGGTTGTCAGTGGTTAGGAGGAGGAGGAAATGAGATGTTGGTCAAAGGGTACAAACTTTCAGTTATAACATGAGCAAGTTCTGGGATCTAACGTACAGTGTGATAATTATAGTTAACAATACTGTATTATACACCTGGAAGGTCCTAAAGACAATAGAGCTGAGATGTTCTCACCAACACCACAACAAAAAGATGATAATTATGTGATTATACATGAAACAAAATCATCACACTGTACACTTTAAACTTACACCATGTTCTATGCAACTACATCTCAAAGCTGGGGGAAATGGTCTACTTCTGAAACACTTACCTTGTGACATCTAGAGCTTTCTGAACTTTCGCTTGCACAGATCCAAGTAAATCTGCCCCCATTTTCTTAAGTAATTGTGTGAGAAGAACAAAAAGCCAGTCTTGCAAATCATCCTTATGAATTATTATAAAATCAACAAGAGTCTCCAAAAACATACTGAAAACCTAGACACAAATAAAAACAGAACATTTCACATATTTAATTCAGAATTCCTTCCAAAGTCCCCAAACCATAAAAAATGCCTATACTGGCTTGGCCCAATCTCTTACAAGCTAGGTTAACACTGTTAACAACTGATCATACCACAGAAGACAAATGTATTAAAGAAAATTAGGGAAAAAGAATTGGAACTTACTCTCTGATGTGATTTCCACCGCAAACCAGGCCATGCAACAAAACAAATGCCTTTGTTAGTCCAGAGTGAATTAATACAATTTCCATGCAGTTTACTCAAAGACCTGAAATGGCTACAAATTGATACCACACTCTCTCCTCCCTCAATATGCCTTTAAAATCCATACACAGAGAGAAATAACTTTGCTGAAAAGTATTAGTTTGTTTGTTGATTTATTTATCTTTAATGATTAATCTAGAGCAGCGGTTCTCAACCTGTGGGTCGCGATCCCTTTGGGGTTTGAACAACCCTTTCACAGGGGTCACCAAAACCATCAGAAAACACATATAATTACATATTGTTTTTGTGATTAATCACTATGCTTTACTTATATTCAATTTGTAACAATGAAATTGGGGGTCACCACAACATGAGGAACTGTATTAAAGGATCGCGGCATTAGGAAGGATGAGAACCACTGATCTAGAGTCATCTTTCTTTCTTTCTTTTTGGTTAAGCCTCACCCCAGGATATGTTTTTCATTGATCCCTAGAGAGAGTGTAAGGGAGGGGCAGAGACAGAGAGAGAAACATCGATGTGAGATACACACATCAATTGGTTGCTTCCCGCACATGCCCCAACTGGGGTCAGAGATCAAGCCTGCAATTGAGGTATGTGCTCTTGAACAGAATCGAACCCATGACCTTTAAGTCTGCTGGCTGATGCTTTAACCACAGAGCCATTCTGGCCAGGGTGGCGTTTTTCTTTCTTAAAAGAAAAACACACATTTAAATCATCATAATTATATACTATTATTTTTCATTATCTATCATTAAAAAAATACTATGATAGGAAGACTTTCCATCAAGAAGAAAAAGTAGGTGTAGATACTGTGCTTGCCTCCTCCGTGGCCACATCAAAACTACAACTAATTTATAGAACAACCATCACCGAAAACCACCTGAAGACTAGCTGATCAGGAGTCCTTTAATGAAGGCGACAAAGAAAAGCCAGTGAGACTGGTAGGAGGGGTGGAGACCCAGAAAAGGCTTGTCCAACATCCCTGAGTGAAGGTTAAGAATTGGGAGGGAGCTTTCCGTGCTACCCAGGGCGGGCTCCATACGGTGTTGTGCTCGGTTCCCACGTAACTTAAAGGGAAACTTCTCACAATGACCGGAGCCCTTGGTGTCCTGCAAATGAAGGAGGAGGATGTCCTCAAGTTCCTTGCAGCAGGAACCCACTTAGGTGGCACCACCTTGACTTCCAAATGGAACAGCCCATCTACAAAAGGAACAGTGATGGCATCTACATCATCAATCTGAAGAGAACTTGGGAGAAGCGTCTGCTGGCAGCTCGTGCCATTGTTGCCATTGTTGCCATTGAAAACCCAGCTGACGTCAGTGTCACATGGTCCAGGAATACTGGCCAGCGAGCTGTGCTGAAGTTCGCTGCTGCCACTGGAGCCACTCCTATTGCCGGCCGCTTCACTCCTGGAACCTTCACCAACCAGATCCGGGCAGCCTTCCGGGAGCCAAGACTTCTGGTGGCTACTGGCCCCAGGGCTGACCACCAGCCTCTCACAGAGGCGTCTTATGTTACCCTGCCCACCATCGCTCTGTGTAACAGATTCTCCTCTGCGCTCTGTGGACATTTCCATCCCTTGCAACAAGGGGTCTCACTCAGTGGGTCTGATGTGGTGGATGCTGGCCCGGAAGTACTCCACATGCGTGACACTATCTCCCGTGCACACCCGTGGGAAGTCATGCCTGATCTTTACTTGTACAGAGATCCTGAAGAGATGGAAAGGAAGAGCAGGCTGCTGCTGAAAAGGCTGTGGCCAAGGAGGAATTTCAGGGTGAATGGACTGCCCCTGCTCCCGAGTTCACTGCTGCCCAGCCTGAAGTTACGGGCTAGTCTGAAGGCGTGCAGGTGCCCTCTGTACCCATTCAGCAGTTTCCTACTGAAGACTGGAGTGCTCAGCCTGCCACTGAAGACTGGTCTGCAGCCCCCACTGCTCAGACTACTGAATGGGTAGGAACAACCACTGAGTGGTCCTAAGCTGTTCTTCCACAAATTCTTAACAGAACGGAAATAAGGTTGATGGGAAAAAAAACAGTTTCTAAAAAAAAAGAATTGGGAGGGATAACTAGGCCATGGAGGACCTCCTAAGAAGCAAGAGGTCCCAGCCCCACACCAAGTTCCCCAGCCCAGGGCATCAGAGCCTGAAAGGAAGTCCCTTACATCTGGCTGTGAAAACCAGCACTAATTGTGTCTGAGAAAGACAAGAGACTGCTAGAATGAAGGTGCTGCAGGTCTTAAAGGGGCCCACACAGGACTCACTTAACTCAGAATTGCAGTGCAGCAGTAGTAGCTGGGATAGCTCTCCCCTGGACAAAAGTGCTGGCCACTGTTCCTTTGTTGATCCTCACCCCACCCAAGTGGCAGGTGCGGTCAAGTGCCAAGTCTGAACTCTCCATTAATCTGGCTAACGCTCTTCACTGCACTCTGATGATTCCCCAAGACCCTGCCCCACCCAAGTTATGACCCTGGCCAGAACCCCTTTCAGGGGCTATTCCACACAAGCAGCTAAAATGGCATGCACTGTGGAATTTTCTAAGGTCTCTCAAAAATCCACAAACCCCAAACAAGCAGCAGCTGGTCTCAGCATTCTCCATACTTCTTCCCAGGGAGCCCCAAGCCTACCACAGGAGGCTACCAAATGCAGGCCAGTTTTTAGCTCCTAATAGGTAGCCCCTAGGCAGACACAGGCAGAAGTTGACATGGGCCTGCACTAGAGTCCTTCCTAAGAGTCCCAAGAACCAACACACCTGGTGGCCAGGTTCAGACCACATCAGAGCACCACCGAACTACCTCCATAAACAACACACACAAGGAGAAGACTCAGCAGGCAGCAGAACCCTGCTAAAGCAAATACTGCTCTGTGGGGTCAACCACTGCACAACAGCTGGCCCACCGTAGTCATGGCCAGTCCTCATAGCCAGTTATCCTGGGGGTCAATCTTACACACTGATGTGCCAACAACCATCAAGGCTAAACCACATTAGGAAATGATACACAAAACCCGCACAAGGGAGCACCCTGCTCAGGTGACCAGGAAGTCTACATCACAGGACCTGAAAGGACACCTACTACTTAAGGCCACTCTGTCAACTGGGAGATGTAGCAGCTCCACCTAATACATACAAACAAACAGAGGGAAGCAGCCAAAATAAGGAGAAAAAGAAACATGTTCCAAATGAAAGAACTGGACAAAACTCCAGAAAAATAATTAAATGAAATGAAGGCCAGCAATGTACCAGATTGAGTTCAAAACACTGCTAATAAGAATGCTCCATGAATTTATAGGAAGAATAGATAATCTCAGTGTGAACTTCAACAAAGAGATAGGAAACATAAAAAAAGAGTTAAAAAATAAAAAAAGAACCAGTCAGAAATAAAGAATACCATAACTGAAATGAAAAGTACATTACACAGAATCAACAGCAGATTAGAAAAACCGGAGGACTGAATCAGCAACATGGAAGAAAAAGTTGTGGAAAACAACCCATTAGAATAGCAAAAAGAAGAAAAAAAAATTAAGGATAGTTGAAGCCAGTAGTCACCAACTGGTGGTCCGTGGACCACTGGTGGTCTGTGAGGTCCAAAAGGTTAGCGACCACAGGTTTAAGGAAACCTTTGGAGCAGCGGTCACCAACTGGTGGTCCACAGACCACTGGTGATCCATGAGGTCCGAAAAGTTGGTGACTACTGGTTTAAAGGACCTCTTGGACAAAGTCAAGCATGTTAACATTCACATTATGGGGGTGCCAGAAGGAGAAGAGAGAGATCAAGAGATGGAAAGCCTATTTGAATAAATAATGACTGAAAACTCCACTAACCTGGCAAAAATAAGGTAGTTATAAAAGGCCAGAAAGTGCAGAGACTCCAAAACAAGATCAGGCAAAAGAGGCCCATATGAAGATATCATAATTAAAATGGCAAAGTTTAAAGACAATCTTAAAAGCAACAAGAGAAAGACAGCGACTTATAAAGGAACTCCTGTAAGATGTCAGCTGATTACTCAACAGAAACTTTGCAGGCCAGAAAGGACTGGCATGAAATATTCAAAAGGGTGAAAAGCAAGGACCTACAACCAAGATTACACTAGGAAATATTCAGTGATGAAAAGCAAGAACCTACAACCGAGGTTACTCTACCCAGAGCAAGGTTATCATCTAGAATTGAGGGTGAGCTAAAGAGTTTCCCAGCTGCCAAAACCGGTTTGGCTCAGTGGATAGAGCGTCGGCCTGCGGACTGAAAGGTCCCAGGTTCGATTCCAGTCAAGGGCATGTACCTGGGTTGCGGGCACATCCCCAGTAGGATATGTGCAGGAGGCAGCTGATCGATGTTTCTCTCTCATCGATGTTTCTGACTCTCTATCTCTCTCCTTTCCTCTCTGTAAAAAATCAATAAAATATATTTAAAAAAAAAAAAAAAAGAGTTTCCCAGCTAAAATAAACCTAAAAAAATCCATCACCACCAAACCAGCATTATAGGAAATATTAAAAGGGACTTCAAGAGAAAAACAATATGAAATATATGAACATGAAAATAAGTAAAGAAAAAATTCTCACTAACAAAGGCAAACATAATAAAAGCAGATCAACCAACTATAAAGCTAACACAAAGGTTAAAAGGCAATTGTGTATAATTACAACAATAAATTAAGGGATACACTTAAAAAACACACACAAAAGAAATATTAAAACTATGACAAAAACATAAATATGGGGGAAGAGAATAAAAATGATAGGGATTTTTTTTGAATGTTTTCAAACTTAAGTGACCATCAATTTAAAACAGACTGTTACAAACTAGTATATATGAAGCACACAGTAACCAAAAACCAAAAATCTACAAAGATTTATACAAAAAGTAAAGAGAAAGGAATCTAAAACAACACTACACAAAGTCATCAACATACAAGAGAAGAGAGTAAGAGAATAAGGCAGCAATAGAGAGATATAAAAACAATAATAAAATGCCAATAACCACATGCTTACTTTAAATGTAAGTAATTAATTACTTTAAATGTAAATGTACTAAATGCTCCAATCAAAAGATATAGGGTGAGTAAAGGGATAAAAACAAAGAACAAAACACAAGACCTATGTGTTTTTGTGACCTATGTATCTTATATATGATGCCTATAAGAGACCTTTTTCAGATAAAAAAACACACAGCCTGTAAGTAAAGGAATGGAAAAAGACACTTTCAAAATAAAGTTTCAAACAAAGGTTATAACAAGAGACCAAAAAAAGGACATTTCATAATGCTAAAGGAACCAATTCAATAGGAGGATATAACTTTTAAACATTTTAGGTACCCATCATAGGTGCTGAGCACCTAAGTATGTGAAGCAAATATTGATAGAACTAAAGGGAGCGATCAACAAGTAATACAATTATTGCAGGGGACTTTAACACCCATTGATATCTTGGACTGACTTAAATGACACAATCCATCAGATTATCTAATAAACCATATTTTTAGGACATTTCACCCAAAAGCAAGAGACTATACATTTTTTTCAAGTGCACAAGGACCATTTCCCAGTACAGATGAAATATTAGGCCACAAAACAAGTATCAATAAAATTTAAAAGACTAAAATCATAACAAGCATATTCTCTGACCATAATGGTAGGAAACTAGAAATCAATTACAAAAAACACACAGACACATGGAGGCTAAATAACATGCTACTAAAAAATAAATGGGGTTAATAATGTGATTTTAAAAAATCAAGACATCTAGAGACAAATGAAAACACAACAACCCAAAACCTATGGGACACAGCGAAAGCAGTCCTAAAAGGGAAATTCATAGCAAATAGGCTAACCTCAAGAAAAAGAAAAATCTCAAATAAACAATCTAACCTTACACCTAAATGGACTAAAAAAGAACAAACAAAACCCAAAGTACGAGTAGAAGGAAATAATAAAGATCAGAGCAGAAATAACAAGACTAGAAAAGATCAATAAAACCATGAGCTGCTCTTTCGAAAAAATAGACAAAACTGATAAACCTTTAACCAGACACATCAACAAAAAAAGACAGAGGACCCAAATAAATAAAATCATAAATAAAAGAGAAATTACAACTGACATGACGGATATACAAAGGTTATAAGAAAATGCTACGAACAATTATATGCCAACAAATTGGACAATTTGGAAGAAATGGACAAATTCCTAGAAGCATACAATCTTCCAAGACTGAATCAAGAATAAACAGAACATGTGAAGATGGGTAACTACAACAAAATCAAATCAGTAATTAAAAAACTCCCAAATGTGGGAAGCATGGGACTTGGTTGCAAAGTTTGTTAAGGAGGATTCTCCAAAAGGATGGAGGCCTCTAGGGGACCTTGCCAAAGTGGCAGCCCCTGCCTTGACTTTTCCAAACAAGTTTGAGCTTCCAGGTGTTTACTGGAATCTTTATGTCTATTCTTTAGACATCCTTGCTTAGAGGACACAACAGATGCATGTGTCTTCTCAAGAATGCTTACCCTACTGATAGTATCTAATAGTTCATTTTAGTTCAAGCTGTTGTTACAATAAAAGCCTTAGGAGGCAGGGGAATGGAGCTGCTAGGTTTCTCAAGCCAAGCAGTCCCTTAGCCCTCTCTCTCACAGAAACATGTGTCAGAGTAATCATTCATCCATCACTCAGGATCTGCTGATCAGCCCTGGCACCCAACAAACAAAAGTCCTGCACCAGATGGCTCCACAGGTGAATTAATAGCTATCCTTTCCAAATTATTTCAAAAACTTTTAAGAGGATGGAAGGATCCCAAGCTTATTTTATGAGGCAGCATAACCCTGATAACAAAACCAGATAAAAAACACTACAAAAAGAAAAATTTATAAGTCAATTTCCCTGATGAACATAGATGTAAAAATCCTCAACAAGATATAAGCAAACCAAATTCAGCAATACAATCAAAAGATGAAGTGGGATTTATTCCTAGGATGCAAGTTTGGTTCAATACTCGCAAATCAATTAACATGATACACTACATAAAATGAATAATAAAAATCATATCAGTAGATGCAGAAAAAGCATTTGACAAAATGCAACATCTATTTATAATAATAACTTTTAGCAAAGTGGGAAGAGAGGAAATAAACCTCAACATAATAAAGGCCATACATGACAAATCCACAGCTAACATCAAACTCCATGGTGAGAAGCTAAAAGCATTTTTTTTAAGATAAGGAACAAGGCAAGGATGTCTACTTTTAACCACAGAAAGACAAATACTATATGATTTCTTCAACATAGTAGTGGAAGCCCTAGCCACAGTAATTAGACAAGGAAAAGAAATAAAAGGCAACCAAACTGGAAAGAAAGTATAAAACTGTAATTATTTTCAGATAACATGATACTATACACAGAGATTTCACCAAAAAACTATGAATTCAGTCAAGTAGCAGGATACAAAATTAATATTCACAAATTGATTGCATTTTTATAAAGAAAAAAATGAACTATCAGATAAATTAAGAAAATAATCCCATTTATGATTGCATGAAAAATAATAAAACATACAGAAATAAATTTAAGCCAAAAGGTGAAAGACCCATACTCTGAAAAACTATAAGGTACCAAAGAAAATGGAAGATACAAATAAATGGAAACAAATACCATGCCCATGGACAGGAATAAGTAACATCATCAAAATGTGTATACTTTCCAAAGCAATCTAAAGATTCAATGCAACCCCTATCAAAATACCAATGAAATTAGAATAGTCCTAAAAATTATATGAGACTGTAAAAGCCCCCAATAGCCAAAGCAATCTTGAGAAAGAACAAAGATGGAGACTTCAAACTATCTGGTAACAAACTATACTACAAGGCTATAGTAATCAAAATAACATTATACTGGCATAAAAACACATAAATCAATGGAATAGAAGAGAGAATCCAGAAATAAAGCTATGAATATATGGTCAATTAATATATATGACAGAGGAGGCAAGAATATACAATGGAGTAAAGACAGTCCCTTCAATAAATGGGAAAACTGGACAGACACATGCAAAAAGATAAAACTAGATCACCAACCTACACCATATACAAGAATAAACTCAAAACCGATTAAAGAATTAAATTTAAGACCCAAAATCACAAAACTCCTATAAGAAAACATAGGCAGTAAACCCTCTGACATCGCTTCTTAGTCATTCATATATATATATATATTCATATATGCCCTCGGGGAAGGGTAATAAAATAAATAAATACATAAATAAATGAATAAATAAATAAATACATGGGACTTCATCTAATTAAAAAGTTTTTCCAGAGGGAAGAAATCATGAACAAAACAAAATGACAACCTATTACATTGGTGACGATATCGTCAATGATATGCCAGATAAGGAGTTAATACCCAAAATATATAAGAAACTCATACAACCTAATACCAAAGAAATTAAGAAATGGGCAGAGGATCTGAATAGATATTTTTCCAAAGAGGACATAAAGATGGGCAACAAACATATGAAAAAATGCTCAATGTAACTAATCAACAGAGAAATGCAAATTAAAATCACGAGATATCACTTCACACATGTCAGAATGGCTATCATCAATAAATCAACAAACAAGTTTTGATGAGGATGCAGAGAAAAGAAAACCCTTGTGCACTGTTCTCGAGATTGCAAACTGGTACAGCCACCATGGAAAAGACCATGGAGATTCCTCAAAAAATTAAAAACAGAACTACCATATGACTCAGCAAGTCCGCTTCTGGGTATTCATCCAAAGAAATCCAAAACACTAATTGGAAATGACACATGCATCCCATGTTCATTGCAGCATTATTTATAAGAGCCACGATATGGAGGCAAAGTAAGTCACCATCAACAGACAATAGAAGAGGAAGTACATATATGCAATGGAATATTATTCAGGTGAAGGGATTAAAATGTATAAATTGCCAATTATAAAAACAGTCATTGAGATTAAAGTACATCATAGGAATCTATACTAATAAAAGGATAATATGCTAATTAGACTGACATCTTTCCAGACAAAGCCATGGTGGCGGGGACCAAGGCAGAGGCGATTAGGGACGATCAGGTTGGCAGAGGAGAGCAGTTAGGGGCGATCAGGCCGGCAGGGGAAGGCAATTAGGGGCGATCAGGATGGGAGGGGAGCAGTTAGGGGGCAATCAGGCCGGTAGGCAGAGGCGGTTAGGGGCATTCAGGCCAGCAGGGGAGCAGTTAGGGGCATCAGGCCGGCAGGCAGAGGCAGTTAGAGGCAATCAGGTAGGCAGGCAGGCAAGCAGTTAGGAGCTAGCGGTCCTGAATTGAGAGAGGGAAGTCCGACTGCTGGTTTAGGCCTGATCCCAAGGAGTCCTGGATTAGAGAGGTTGCAGGCCGGGCTAAGGGGATTCCCCCCCCCCCATACAAATTTTGTGCACCAGACCTCTAGTATAGTCAATAATACTGTAATAACTGTTTAAGGTATTGGGTGGGTACTAGACTTGGGTGATCACTTAGTAAGTTACATAAATGTCTCATCACTATGATGTATAAGTTAAACTAACGTAATGTTGTATGCCCCTGGTCAGCAAACTGCAGCTCGCCAGCCACATGCGGCTCTTTGGCCCCTTGAGTGTGGCTCTTCCTAAGCCTTAGGAGTACCCTAATTAAGTTAATAACAATGTACCTACCTATATTGTTTAAATTTAAAAAATTTGGCTCTCAAAAGAAATTTCAATCGTTGTACTGTTGATATTTGGCTCTGTTGACTAATGAGTTTGTTGACCACAGTTGTATGCTAAGTATAACTGAAAAAATTTTTAAATTTTTAAATAAAGATTACCATGTGACACCTATACAAAAAAAAATAGTTATAGGATGAGGGGGAAAAAACTTGTGTATTTTTTTTCATTCTAGTCATCTGTTTTAATGCATACCAAAATTCAGATATTGTCAAGTAATATCTTTATAAAATGACTAGAAGCCCAGTGCACAAAAATTTGTGCACTCAGGGGCAGGAGGTCCCTCAGCCCGGCCTGTGCCCACTCACAATCCAGGACCCCTTGGGGGATGTCCACCTGTTAACTTAGGCCACTCCCCAGGGGATCAGGCCTAAGCTTGCAGTCAGACATCCTTCTGGCAGCCAGGGAGCCCTCAGGGGATGTCCGACTAAAGGCTTAGGCCCCCAAGGGATCGGGTCTAAACCGTTAGGTGGACATTTTTCATGCTGCCACGGAGGTGGGAGAGGTTAAAAAGTATAAAAATATAAGTTGCCATGAGCCAGCTTCTGGCTGAGTGGCACTCCCCATATGGAAGTGCACAGACCACCAGGGGGCAGCTCCTGCATTGAGCATCTGCCCCCTGGTGGCCAGTGCACATCATAGCAACTGGTCATTCTGCTGTTCAGTCAATGGGCATATTAGCCTTTTATTATTATTGTATAGGATGTCCCTATTTCCCCCCTTTTGCCCCCTCTACCCAGCTCTTGGCCCCCACTTCTCTCTGGCCATCACCATACTGTTGTCTGTGTCCATGGGTTGTGCATATATTTTCTTTGGCTAATCCCTTCTTTAAACTCACTTCTTTAAATTTTTATTTTCAGATAAGTGCTTATAACTGCACTATTATATATTTTCTATTATATCATTTAGAATTAAGATATTTTTTAATTGAAGCCTTGTAAATTTTAGCACAATTTAATAAATTATGCTAGAAGCAATTAGGAGATTTTTCATGTAATGCAGACACATTTCAATTAATATTTTTATTGTTTTAATATTTTAATTTCAAATAATCTCATACATGTAAAAAAAACCCTATAAAATACTACAGCATATTATATGTACCCTTCACCCAATTTCTTAGGTGTTAGTAATTTAAACATAACCATTATACATACAACAAAATTTGGAATATATTTTTCTTATAATCTCTTTAGTGTTACCTAATCCATTTACTTTGTTTTTGTTAATCTTCACCCAAGGATATTTTTCCATTGAATTTTAGAGAGAGTGAAGGGAAAGGGAGAGACATTAATTGGTTGCCTCCTGCACATGCTTTGATAGGGACTGGGGATCAAGCTAGCAACTGAGGTACATGCCCTGAATGGAATCGAACCCGGGACCCTCAGTCCACGGGCTAATGCTCAATCCACTGAGAAAAACAGGCTGCAGCTTAATTCATTTACTTTTAATCTATATGTGTCTTTATGTTTAAAGTGAGTTTTGTTTTTGATTCATCCTCATAATCTGTCTTTTAATTGGTGCATTTATGCCACTGACTTTCAGAGTGCTTACTGATAGAGTTACTACCATATCAGGGGCTTCTGGGGCGGGGCCAGCTCCTGGGGCAAGGAGTGGCCGGCTCCTGGTGCTTCTGGGGCAAGGCGGGGCTGGATCCTGGGGCTTCCGGGGTGGGGACGGGCCTGCCCTGGATGGAGGCACGCTGGCAGCTCATGCTGTCCCACCCTGCCTGCAGTACGCAAATTAGCTGCCATCTTTGTTGGCAGTTAATTTGCATATCATGCTGATTAGCCAATGGGAGGTGTAGCAAAGGTATGGTCAATGATCATGTTTTTCTATTATTAGATAGGATATTACAAAAGCCATAAAAAGCTTTATAAAAGGTTATGGCTTAAAACCTCACATTATTATCATGCTGCTATATACTTATTATTGCTGTCTAAGGTGAGACAGTCACAGTGGACCAATCTCAGAGAGGTAAGTGGCACCTATCTCCCTCTACTTGGTTATGAGCATCGCTCTACAGAGACAACCCAGTCATCATATACCAAATAGTGCAGCAACTATTAACCACCAGGGTGTCAAGTGGCTCAGAGAAAGTCCATGAGCCCAGCTGTGGGGTTCCTAGCTTAGCTTAAGGCAGCTTGCAAATAGTAACTAGACTGAGACCTCCAAACTCACTGTACAAGAGCCTTCTGATGGAAACAAATTTCCTTCTTTATCCTCACATTCTGGTTCTGAATCAGCAATCTAGAGGTGACAGGTAACAGAAATTTCGTCAATGTCCCAAACCATCTAATCCTTTATGCTATGAATTCTATAAATCTTATGCTTATGATTTAAATCTTAGTGTTTTTAACATTATTTTAGAGAAGAAATCTTGATAATTATATCTATTTGGCCCTTAAACTCAACCCTTCTTGGATCTTACTAATAGTTAATGTTAGCCTTGCTGTGAGGGTCGGGGTCCTAACCAGGATTTTAAACCACACTTCAAGATCGACTGAGAAGTGCTGTCCAAAAAAGGGGGAGAATGCCTACACTCATTCCCCTATGCTGTGTGAGCATCTCAAAAGGCTGGGGTCACATGCTGCTTCGTACACCCCTTGCCCAGAGTGGGTGCCAGGAATGCTGAATGATGGAACAGAGGTGGCAGCTTAAGGGACAAGTCCCATGAAGAGGAAAGGCTCGGAAAAGGGGACATCACAAAACAGCTTCTCTCTGGGCCATCCCGGCTCCATGCGTCCAGAAAAACTTAGGACAGACCATTTCACTAGGAAACTGCAGTATAAGATAGTGAAGTCCTGCATGTAAAGCATTTAAGATTTGTTATGGTGACTGAGATTTTCTCAATTGCTGTACTTTAGTTTCTGTCCTTTATCCACCCTTTATCTTTCCCAATATCGTCATCCCCAAACAATGCCAATTATGTAGAACCTGGACTCCGAGTAAGCGGTTCTAAAGGGCCCTCTGGGCACCACTCCTGAGAGGGCCCGGACCCCTCCTTGTGGTGTGCTCCTTGGGCAGGGATGCCCTTGTCAGAAAGGCAGGCCTCGGGCTCAGTGCTCTCCTGGGCTCCCAGGAGGGGGAGGCACCAGCTAAGTGGCCACCAGTCAGTAAGTTCTTGGGGCTGGCAAATTCTATTTGTAAAAATAACTTAACCTGGTTCTCTAATAAATCTATTACATAAATGCTTCCACTTTTCTATCTTGTCTTATATAGAAATATTCTACCTGGGATGCAAAAAAATTATTATATACTTGATTATTTTCTTCACTACTGAAATTTTTTTTAAAAGTCACTATATTATATAATACAATGTTACATTCTAGCATCTAGCCCACTGTTGGCTAATAGGAGCCACTCAAAAATACCTGCTGACAGACAACTGATTCCCTCCATAATAGCTCGTACTTGAAATGCACTTTATATATAACTTGAAGTTTCATAGACATTTGAAGCTTCCAAAAATTCCATTTTTAAAAGATGTGACATAAGCTATTGCTGAAATTAGTGTTACATCTGTGAGATCTTTTTTGTGTGTTTTTTTAATCCTCCCCCAAGGATATGTTTAGTGGAAGGGAGAGAGAAGGAGAGGGAAAAAGGGAAGGAGAGGGGTTAGGAAAGGGGGAAAGAGAAAAACATGGATGGACCAGTGATAGAACCTGCAACCTAGGTATGTGCCCTGACCTGGAAACAAACCTGCAACCTTTTGGTGTACAAGACGATGCTCCAGCCAGCTGAGCCACAAACCAGGGCTAATCTGTAAGGTCTTAACTTCACTACAGGGAATTATCTCTCATTCTTTAAAAGTATATGACACAGCTCACAGACATGCAGAGAGAAAGGTAAGTAAGGCATGATTCCCAGACTTACCTTGCTATGTGGGTCAGCAAACATTCGTGTGAAGATCTCACACAATCTTTTCAATTCTACTCGACTAAAAAAAAATAAAATGGAAATAAATTCCCTTTATTAAGTCAACACTAAAATTAGTTACAGCTTTGGTTTAAAAATCCTTTTATTTCAGTCAACTATGTAAGCTTTATATAATTTTTATTAAAGTTTTTTCACACAAAAAACTTTATATTATTTAACTCATGATGAAATCAAACGGGAATATGAAACTATAATAGTTTTGTTTTTATTTTAAAATGAGGAAACTAAATCTCAGAGAGTGCCTAAGTTCGCTGGCATGGAAGTGGCAAAGCCATGAGACAAATCCTGTTCATTTCATCCAGGTCTGTTTTCCACCTGCCACAGATGGAGGGCAGTGGGATAAACTAGGAAAGCGTGTACTCTGGGGTCATATGGACCTGCATCTTAATCTCAGTTCTGCCAGAGAAAGTATGAGTCACACAGGGTAAGAGCTCCCTGGCTGCTGCAAGGATGAGAGGAGATGACACCTCCTTCCTACAACTGTGCCTAAGACACAGCAACCGCGTTTCGTTTTAGGGCCCCTCTGCCTTTCTTATCCTTAACTGTACTACCAAGTCCCAATTTTTACCTCAAGGCTGATTAGAAGGGACGTATTTTTCCCAAATCATGCCTGAGTAAACCCCCCTTATACACACAACACAATCTAGATTAGACCAAAGCTAATCAAAGATTTCGAGAGGCTATTCAGTGGATACTTGGTGAACACCGAGATGTAAGAAACTGAGACCAGCAGAATTAACTAGATTCTTGAAGCAACAATCACAACAAATAACCCTCATTTTGTTCTTTGACAGACCACTAGAGTTCAGAAGCGACCTGCCTTTCAGAAAGCATATGACAGAAGTTCTCAGGACGTCTTCATGAACGGAATAGAATTTGGAGAATGGGGCAGGGGGGTGCGGGGTAGCAGGGTAGAGTCAGGCTGACTTGGGAGCCACACCGCATAGGGATTTCTGGATCAGTGCTCACTTAACTTTGCAGAACCCATCTAGGACCACAAAAGTATCCGGTGTCATAATTTATCTTTAAAAAATTATCTAAAGAATATAATAAACTGTCATGGATTCTACGTTGCCCACTTTTTCACATTTTAACATCTCTGTAAATGTGAGATTCATCTTATAATCTATGACATATTAACGTCAGGTTTAATAAGCAGCATTTCTTCTTAAAAGGGATATAAAATAACTAGAGGCCTGGTGCACAAAAATTTGTGTGGGGGGCGGGGGGTAATCCCTCAGCCCAGCCTGTGCCCTCTCGCAGTCTAGGACCCCTCGGGGGATGTCCACCTGCTGGTTTAGGCCCGCTCCCCAGGGGGGATTGGGCCTAAGCTGGCAGTCAGACATCCCTCTGGCAGCTCGGGAGCCCTCGGGGGATGTCCACTTGCCAGCGGGGAGCAGGCCTAAGCTGGACATCCTTAGCACAGCTGAACAGGCAGAAAAGGCTCCCACCAACACCACTGTACTGGCAGCTGGCAGCCTGGCTTGTGGCTGAGCAGAGCTCCCCCTGTGGGAGCACACTGACCACCAGAGAGCAGCTCCTGCATTGAGCATCTGCCGCCTGGTGGTCAGTGTGTGTCATAGTGACCAGTCATTCCCAGTCTTTCTGCTGTTAGGGTCAGTTTGCATATTACCCTTTTATTATATAGGATAGAGGCCTGGTGCACGGGTGGAGGCCGGCTGGTTTGCCTTGAAGCATGTCCTGGATCAGGGTGGGGGGTCTGCTGGGGTGCCTGGCCAGCCTGGGTTGAGGGCTGAGGGCCGTTTTCAGGCTGGCCATTCCCCCCGACGACCCAAACTCCCAGCCTCTCCTTTTTTTTCTTTTTTCCATGACGGCCTGGAAGCAGGTATCTGGGATTTATTTATCTTCTATAATTGAAACTTAGTAGCCTTGAGTGGAGCCCAGGTCGGCCAGGGCAGGCAGGAAGCTTGGCTTCCTCCATCACTAGGGGGCAACCCAAGCCTCCTGCTCACTCCAGCTCCATGGCCGCTGCCATCTTTGTGATGGAGTGATGGTTAATTTGCATATTGCTCTTTTATTAAATAGGATGGTTTGTCTATGGTGCCTTAGATTTGGTAAAATATGGTATAAAAACATACTTTTTTGGTATGTGTGTAATACCTGCTCATGTTAGAAAATTTATAAAATACAGGAACATAAAGAAAAAAGCAAAAATATTAAATACTGTTACTATTAGTAGTCCAATTTAGTAAATCAATTCAGGATCACTTTAGTATTTATAAGCTACAGATATGCATGTGTATTAAAATTTTTTAGATTGAGGCTGCTATCATCTTACCCACAACCCTAAAGTGTAATGAACCACACCAACCTGAAGAGTTTTCTTTTCTTTTCTTTTTCCAAAGCAGCTGTGCCATTT